TCACGTCAGCGGCCGTGTCGCCGTGCGATGGGCCGCCATCGGTGAGGTGATACGCACGCCATCCGCGGCTATCAAATATCGGACGGCTCGGACGGACGGTGGACGGTCGCCGCGCCGATCAATCTCCGGACTGGCCCGTCAGCCGGCGGACAGGACGGGACGGGACGACGACACCGGACTGCTGCTCGGCTGGGAAGGCCCAGAGCTGAGAGGGGCTGTTGTCCTGAGAGGCACAAATGTACAACCGGCCACGCGGACGGCTAGGAAGGGCCACTGAACTCGGAGAGGTCCCTGTCCAAGGAGGGACCGCCTCATGAACAATCAGCTGGGAGTCTGTCGTGGCTCTCAACCTCCAATGGTAAGGATTGGGTAGGCGACATGGAACTATATGTAAATATAAACGCATGCCATGGCAATAATACAAAAACAACAGCAAAATAATTATCACTATAACTGGAGATTAAGTCTTCGACTTATAACTCACCGTTAGTAACGATTAAAACTAATTTCAACAAGCAACTAAATGTCACACTTCTACTCGAGCTTGCTTCAATTCTATATCGATGACTTAACTCGTAGCGTTCCACGTCTAGAGAAACCACCTCTATCCACAACATACATAGCTACGCTTCCCAATACCCTCCCCAGCTCCCATCCGATCGCCACTCACCTTCAGATTATTCCTGAAGTCACAGTGGCGGCACGCGTGCTTCCCCTGCCGCACATTTCCGTCGTACTGACACAGGCTCTTCCTCAGGTGCTTCTCCACCTCCTGAGCGCTGTTGAGCAGCTTGCCGCACGTCTCACAGCGGCGGGACACAAAGTGGAAGTGCCGGTGACGCTTCTTCATCTCAGGAGTCATCACCAGACCACACTGCTTGCACATGCTGATCCCGAGCGGGTCGGCGCTGTGTCGGCGCACCACGTGTTGGCGTGCGGCAAACTCTAGCTCAAATTGAGCCTGGCACAGGCCGCAGCCGAACCCGTTACCGACGGCGGAGAGGGTGATGGGGCCCCGCTGATGCTCCGGTGTGTCCATATGGTCGTCAGTGAGGACCGCCTCGTCGCAGCGCGAGCACCGCTTCTCGGCGCGTCTTAGCCGGTGGCTGAGCGACTTGATGTGCAGTTTCAGGTCGGAGAGGAGGTTACAGGAGAACTGGCACGGCAGACAGCGGTACGGAGCATACGGCGCCGCGCTGGCCATGGCCTCCACAGTCAGCAAGTTTAGTAGCGCCGCCATGGAGTCGCCGTCACCGCTGCTGGAGGTCTCTTCCAGCGCCGGTTTGAATACCTGGTAGGCGGCCACGTGGTCCTCACTGAACACGTGCGAGGCCAGACTAGAATCGTGCACGGGACCGCACAGCGGGCAGGTGTAGAGCGTCTCCATGAAACTCTTCACATATATCTTGCCGAGGGGCCGGGGGCTGCCGGCGCGACCCTCAGAGTCACCGCCACCTCCGGCGCTGTCTTCAGCGTCTTCACCGTCCTCTTCACCGACACTGTCATCGATTTCATCACCATCCCGTTCACCGAAATCGTCATCAAATTCTCCAGCATCACCGCCACCGCTATTTCCATCATCACCACCATCTTCATCCTCATCTGACGACGGGAAATCCTTAAACGTCACCCTTTTCTTCCGCTTAGCCTTCCGTTGCGGCGGCGGTGGCGTCTGCCTCTTGAGTGCACATTTAAGGATATCCTCCACAGCACCAAACTCATCATCGGACTGCATGCCCGGCTCGAGTCCAGCCACCGCGGCCGCCTCCTGCGCCGAGCGCACCCAGGCCGGCTCGCGCAGACCTGGCTTCCGTTTGCCGAGTTTACGCATCGCTCGGGTAGTCATACTCGGCTGTAAGCCGGACTTGTGCGTCAGCTGGATGTGCTCGCTGAGCGCGTTGCGTGTTTTGAACTGGATGCCGCACTCCTTACAGCGTGTGCGCGCCTTGCGTTTGGCCGCTGAGCGCGTGCGGACCGGGGAGGAGGGAGGGGAGGACTCTTCGTCGGCGGGAGGGGAAGGGGGAGGCGAGTAGGCAGGAGATGCTGCCGGAGAGTCGTCTGCAAAGTCAGGGGAGTCGGCAAACGGCACGGTCTCGGTGGTCACGGCCGGCGGTACCGGCTCCTGCTCTGTCTCTGGATCCTGCTCCTGTTCCATCTCCTGTTCCGGCCACGGATCCTGCTCTGAATCCGGATCCTGTTCCCAATCAGGCTCCGGATCCGGATCCGGGTCCGGTTTCGGCGGCGACGGAGGTACGACCCGCAACGTCAGCGGTATGGTGGAGGACAGCAGATTCTTCGACAACGGCATCATGCCGCCAGACTGGAGCGTCCCAGCGCGTATCACCGTCGCCGGACTCATGCTCGGTTGTTGGATGGTGGCCAGTTCAGGGCCCCCTGGCGAGACCGTGACGCCCCTGAGGACACCCTTTAGTGCATCGACTCCATCTCCGAGCGTGATTTTCTTCACGTCGATGATTGGGAGGGAGGACCGAGGCCTGGCGGCGGTGGGGGTGCGGGCGGGGGTGATGACGGGGACAGGGGTGCGGACGGGGGTGCAGATGGGGGTGCGGTTGGGTGTGCGGACAGGGGTGCGGGTGGGGGTTAAAGCGGAACATCCGGTCTGCCGGTGAGCCACGTAGGCGTCCAGACCGATGATTGTCCTCGAACAGGCGAGACAGTGATGAATATCGTTCGCGTCCGCTGGGAAGAGAGACGAGGGGTCAGTCAGTGTCGGTAGGGTGATAGAGCAAACAGTCGGCGAATCAGTGGACACTGGACAAGGTACGTACGGCCCTCCAGCAAAAGAGTGGTTGGTTAGCCTATGTGCTTATGGTGTAATAACTTAGTCTTTAAATGATAGAGACACTCATGTAAAATGATTCAATAAAAATGAGAAGAGGGTTCGTGCACACACTTCGGCAATGGTTTTCAACAGCCATTAGACGTATTCATCAATGCAGATCGCTTATTGTGATGTTGGCAACCAACCACTAAATACCCGGGAGGGCCGTACCCCGAGCCGGCGTACCGAGGCGATAATTCGGTTAAAAGAAAGTTGATTGTATGTCACTTTCAAAGCTCAGAAGAAGTTCAAACTTAAGTTGAAAATATATTGCATTGAAAAGATAAAACAAAAATGTCCCCGTTCTGTACCTATAATGGCAATGGCGGATCCAGAAAGACGGTCTCATGGACGTTGCACGGGGCATACCCTCCAAAAAGTTTCAATTCCCAAAAACTCCGCGGATTTTGATTCCTTACGCACTCCTGTGCGATTTAAAAACTTCCTGATAAAAGTTGTTTTATTTTTATTTTATCCTCGAGAAAAAAAAACTCGTCGGTTTCGGGCACCGTGGGGGGGGGGGGATCATTTCCCCGTGGATCAGCCAGTCACAGCGCCTAATAGAATTGGACGCATTGGTGACAGAAGACAGGCGGCAATGTAGTTACACGTCGTTTATCCATTATCAATGTAGTTAGATACAAAAAGCCCTGCCCTGTCCAGTCCGAAACAGTTCAGCGCCAACGTTTTATTTTTGTGTTTGTGTAAATGATAATGGTTAATAAGGTTATCACATTAGTGCCGGCATCGGAGTCTCGGCACAGAGCAGATATCAACAGTGCAGGGCCTGCCTTTGACCTGGAGGTCTAAAGACTAGAGCTTCTCCGCCCAGGCCCCAGGGCCGGGGTGGATCACGTTGCTACTGGGGAGGTCTGTAAGGCCATGGGGCTTACCCACATCCTGAACCAAAACTTGTTTTGGTATGATTCGCGGTCATGTGTGCGCGTAGGTGGGACCCCGGGCCCATGGGCCGCAAGCATGGGGGTGCAAACCAGGGCTGCGGAGTCGGAGTCGGAGTCGGAGTCGCCAAAATTTTGCCGACTCCGACTCCAGAGTCGGAGTTAATGCTGCATGGCTTAACGTCATGCACTGCACCTGTTGGATTGACGATGGTGCGCTCGAAATTATATTTTGTCAAAAAGGCCATTTTGCTGTTTTGGACGAACGTTTTCAGCGAAAGAAGCAGAAGACGGTGAATTCCGCAGAACCCTTTTAATCCTGCATGCTATTTTTAATGTATCCTATTGCAACGCAAAGCCTTGGAACGCACAATGGATCGTTTCAGGCAAGATAAAACATCTCCATCACGAACTTCAATATCATGATATGGATTTTAATAAAACCGTCCGGAGTCGCAGTCGGAGTCGGAGTCACCCTAAAACCCATCGACTCAGCAACCCTCGTGTAAACACTACCTATCGTGCGAGTTAAATAAATTGGGCACAGCTTTTCCTAAGTGACCCACTTAAGCTGGGAAGTAATGGAGTACCAGCGCCACACCGCCTCAACACTGAACCCATTGGCATTACCCACTAACTACTATCCAGTACCCACCACCCTATCCAGTCACCCCGGAACCAACTCCCCATATCTCGGTACCGAGGCCTAGTGGAACCGGCGTGATTTGCCATCTAGCGGGCAGGAGTCAAACTGAAGCTACTAAAGTCCTAGATGGCGCCACCAATCAGTCACCGCAACACGCCAAAGAAACAAAACAAAGTAAATATACATGAAACCGACGAAGAGAGCATACAATTTGCGTGATATTTCTGTAATAAAATGCAAAATTCAGTAATGACCAATAATTCTACTGACAAAGGCAAAAATTAAACCAGCGTTGAACTACGGGTAAAACAGGCGCCATCTTAGCGTCAAACAGCTTAGAAGCATATTTCTGGCGAAGTTCACACCAAAGCACCCCAAAAACACCCGAAGAATACGTATCAGATCACAGCCCATGTGCGACTTACCCATTTTTGTTGACAAACACCGGAGACGGCGACAAACGAACAAAAGTCACGATCAACATCGACCGTAGCACAGCGCGCCGCGGCGACTCGCACTGGCTCCGCCTCTCGCTCCGCCCACCCGGTGACGTCACGCCTCTCGGAGTGCAATCCATGGAAGGTGTCCGTGTTTTCAGTGAACGTCAGAGTGGTAGCGGCCGCGACGGAGGGGTGCGCGCGCGAGCTGCCGTGCTGCCGGAGCCGGGCGCTGGCCGAAACACTGTTTTATCGGACGATTTTTGGACGGATCTGAGCGAGAGTGGACTGTTGCAGTGCGTTGGAGTGGTTTGTGACCCGAGGCGGACGCGGGACGATGCTGGTTTAGACACCGGGACTTGAGTGACAAGACTGACAGGTGAAGAGCAGGACCGAAAATGCCTCGTCGGAAGCAGGACTGCCCCAAACGGATGCAATGTGAGTACCGACCGTTGATACACGCTCTTCTCGCCCTATCCTCTGTGTTCACATAGCAACTTTACGCCCGTCCGTTTTCGCCCCTCCACCGCCCTCGACCACGTGTGTACCGTGTACGGGCGGCGGCGGGTCAAAATCGCTGGAGGCGGGGCGCTGGAGGATGCTCTGCATGTTTTAGGTACGGTTCAGCCGGGGTGCAGAGGAGCGGCCGAACTGCAGAAACCGACTGCTAAATGCGTGAATTTCATGCGGCAGCGTTTGATTGCTGACTTGATTTGCCGTGGATTTAGAACGGTCCCGTTAACTGGCAAAGCGAACAATTATTATCCTTTTTTACCTATAAGCTCCCGAAAGATACCGGCGGTACGGGATAAAATCATTAAACCGCTCGTAGGTAGAAAAATATTTTAAACGTCTCGATTTGTTCTACCTACTCGCGGTTTATTATATATTAAACGTCAACAGACTAGACGGAAGGTCGTTGTCGTTCTGTTTATCGATGACGGTTTGTGATTCGAACCCAAGAATATCTTTAAGAAATGCTACATGGATCAATTGCCATGGTGTTTTCACCACCGTTTACCGCTGTGTTGAACGGCACTGGACAAATATTTGTTTTAGACGATCCATGTGTCGCATATAATTTGATTTCATTTAACTGGCGGGATATACCTCCCTAAATGACGGGAAATGCATTAACATACAATTACTTTTTGACGATTTTTGACTATGTTTTGATATTTTTAGTCTCCATTGTGGGCGTAGTCATCAATGCAATCGGTGGGAACAGCTAACCAACATGTTTAGAGTCTTTTTAGGCATTCAGTGATCAAAGTTGCGCCTGTTTTATGCTGGAATATCATTAGCTATTCGTTTTTGTTCTTTTTTTTTAGCTTTTTAGTACGTAGATAGGCATGTATTTTGTTACTTTTAAGCACCAAACGGCCTTTTAGTGTTCGAAACGTTAGCGTTCAATGACCATTTTTTGTTGCTTATTTTAAGACGACACACGTTAACTAGTGCTACTCATTAACGAAAAAATCGCGGTAATATTAAAACTGCCATTATTTTGACCGATGGTTTTCATTTGACATTTTATCCCGTGATTTCTTTCGTAGATCCAGAGGCAAAAGGGCGTCGAACTATTTATAAACGTCAATTTGGATTCTTCAAAAGCATTGTTACTCTGTTCAATTTCTGTTTCCACAGAATAGCTGATGGATGTTCCCACTTCAGTGCGTCAATGTTCCGCTTTTTTTACTGCAATTTTCGATCTTGTTTCATTATTGTTGTCGTTTTGATTGATCGGCCTTTTAAATTTGAGCGACTGGAATGCTGATTGTTCACTTTTCATTGTGCGTGTAATTATAGTTATGTTGCACTTCGGTTGCACGTTTATATCTTACACTGTAAACCAAATTGACAAGTCTTGTGTAATATAACCAATCATCTCTTGGTATGTTTACCAACTGATACTTTTCAAACAAGCCGTTGTCTGGTGCATTGCTTGTCAGGTGACAACTACGAGTCAATCTATATTACTATTTGAGGAGGGTGCGTCTGTCCGTTACCGAGGTCCCAACTTGGTGCTGCTTTACGTGGACTACAGGCCAGACCGTTGCACCTAGCCCGGTGAAATTTGCACAACTTATAGATCAAGGATGCGCGACGTGCCTTTGAGGGGTCTCAGCTCGATCGGATTGATAGGGAGCGCGTGGCGCGTGCTCAAAAAGTGCAAATTCGCGTCATAGACTTTACATGTATAAATCGGCGTGCGAAATCGGGCGAAAACGGCTAATTTTGGCCGACACGGGTCCAGTTCCCGTGCAATATCTTGGTGACCAGGGGTCCGACCGGCACGGGGAAAACAGCATCGTGTACAGAATTGAACGGGCTATTGAATGGTGTGCAATGCAGAGGATAGCACGCGCCACGTGCACCGGAGAGGGCACTTTTATTTGAAAAATTGCGGTTTTTGAGGGATTTTGGAATTAATTTTATTTTTAGGTGACCGTTAAACGGAGCGAGTTGAAACAACGCCTGTTGACAAGAGAAATGTACCGCCTCTCATGGGAAAATTGTGAAAAGCTAATTGATCGACGACAAGGTGGTATAAATCGCTGGAGAAAATGGTTTTTGTCGATGATGTGCCGCTTTCTTAATTACACGGGTTTTGCTGCATAACCTGATATGTTTCGCAATTGAAACTGGTACTGTTTGAAAGAGCATTCAATTTTGTCGAAGATACACCCAACATTTTTGCATGACAAGCAACAATATTCTAAAAAATGCAAATGTTTCAAACCACTACATAGTCATTTTTACCGAAATTCATCGATGGTCCTCAAAAGACTTCACGCCAGTTTCCGAATCATTCTAAAGTAGAACGCATGATAATACGACAGGGCCACCTCGATGCGATGTATCTTTTTTGTTTTATTACAATATGCTTGGCCGTCGAAAAGCAATCGAACGAAATGGATGCCAACCAAATCGACACAGACCAACCCAATACCCACGGGTCAAAAATAACCCTTCTTCGCGTTGCGGAGCACGCGGGTAACCCTAGTAGTTACTATGCACACCAACTTCTCAGTATCCAGACCAACTCTACATTTGTTTCAACGTTTGTTTCTTAACCAGTTTTGGAAACTTGTTGCCGCATGGTTATTTAACCGGCGCCTAACTTGTACTGGTCAGCTGGTCGGCATACACATGGTCAGCTGCGCCCGTGACGTCAGACTTGGCGGACCAATCAGCGGTCGCCGTCCGGCCCCGGCGCGGCGGTTTCAAACCGTTCAAACCAGCAGTTGTCGCGCGGCCGCCGTGCAGCATGGATCAGCGACGAGGGCTGTTCCATCATTTGTGCAGTAAAAAGTGAAATCTGTGAACTGTGGTGTTCGTGCTGTGAGTGAGGCCCGCTCTGGCCTGCGGGACGCACTAATCGTGCCTATACCCGCGGTCGAGACGCCTCCCTTCCCCTGCGCGCGCAATGTAAGTGGGCCAGACCTTTGCATGCACATGTGAGCAGATGTTTTTCGGTCGGTGTTTTTTATATATAAATACATTTATTTGCCTTTAATTCAACTCTTTGTATTTTTAACTTAACTGATGGACATATATGGGCTGTAAAAGCTAATCTGGTTGGCGATCATGCTTTATTCGAATTATCTGCGTGATCGTGCAACTGCCATGATTGTTATGGTCAATGTGGAAATATTCGTCATACGGGCATGTTATACTTCTGGCTTGATGCGATGCACAAAACCATGTTCTTCCACATACGCAGCAGTTCTTGCTTCAAAGACTTATATGCTGACGGTGCACGATAGGTATACCTTATACCTCATGCATTTACCACATCCATTCGAAAATATGCACTTGGAATTGTCTCCAGTCAATAGTATTAATTACATACTACGTGATGTAGGTACGTGACCGTAATAAATACTAATGATTCCAGAAACTTCCGAATGGATGTGGTGTATGCATTCATCGATTATATAACCCATCAGTATTTCGTTTCTTGTCAGCGCAAGCCTTTGAGCAATAACTGATGCCAGTCATGATTTTGTGCACCACTTCCAGCCAAAAAATGACCTGTCCGTATAGAAAATATTTCCTGAATCAGTATCGTGGCAATTGAAAACGAACGCGAATCGTAAGTTCTTAAGGTTATCAACGCAAACAAAGCGATTGTAAGTAAGAACAAGTTCGAACTGAGCGTTAGTACACTTACTTGTTGACAATTTGTAAACTAGCAATGCCCAGTCAAAGGCTAGTTCATCAACAAACCAGGGGTTGTTGAACCGACAAGGAAACGGCTATGCCTATCCAGAAGTTGGTAGGTTCACAAGGCCCAGACTAGTACTCAACAAGGTGACGCCTATGCGAATTGGAACCAAACTTGTAGACAAACTGTTAGTTTGTTGGCCAACACGCCTGGGGTTGGTGAATCGACAAGGTGACGCCTATGCGAATTGGAACCAAACTTGTAGACAAACTGTTAGTTTGTTGGCCAACAAGCCTGGGGCTGGTGAATCGACAAGGTGACGCCTATGCGAATTGGAACCAAACTTGTAGACAAACTGTTAGTTTGTTAGCCAACAAGCCTGGGGCTGGTGAATCGACAAGGTGACGCCTATGCGAATTGGAACCAAACTTGTAACAAGGAGCCAACTTGTAGATTTGGTTTACAGTGTAGGCACACCTATCTTTACCGATTATTTTTGTCGGCTACCCATAAACGAATTTTTTAAGCGTTCCGTTAAAGCCTTTTGTTTCTCCGTTCACGTTTGAAAAAGCTCTTATCGTTCGGGTAAATATATTAGTTTTACTTCATTTACCTTCTTAACCCAGAATAAGTTCAATCATCAGCTAAGTTAGTTAGGTGCCAGCAGAGTAGTTCTCCACTCTTAGTTTGTTAGTTTTTTTAGCTAGTATTTCATTTTAATTTTTCGTCTGTACCTTCTTAAGCGTGGTTCACACCGGATCCGTAATGACCGTTACGTGCCGTAATGAATACGTCGGCGATTAAATAATATCTTGAAAGTGGAGGGCACAATGCAACGCGCATGCGTAGTTCGATTTTTTGGCGACGTAACGCCGTATTCGTTACGGATTCGGTGTGCACCGGGAATTGCCATGTTGAGCGCCGTCCTTCGAATCAAGTGCGCCAAAACTATTTTGCTTATAAACAATCGAAAAATGGGCTAAAGCTAAGAGCTGTTTCTTAATATCGGTGCGTCAGAATTTTAATTGGTTTTGCTCTCTTCTTTTTAAATTTATTCCTATCACCTTTGCATAGTGGTTTATATTTGTATGGAGGCATATCATTGTTAATTAATACATACTTTACGGTGCGTTCACTGGAGATTAACCGTGCGTTAATTCGAAGGTAGCCGTGCACCAATTTAAATTGGTGCACGCGCGTGCAGTGATGACTTTCTCGACTGAAGTTTTTCGGAAGGGTCATTGACTTTATTCTAAGATTTCCCATA